CATGTGCCTTTGATTTCCAATGAATTATGAAACCACAACATCAGATATCAGGCTGGTTTCCTAAATTACAATCACTTCTGTAGAACATGAATTAGATGAAAAGATGGAAATGTTATCAATTTCATTTTCAAACTTAATCAGATGGTAAATGCCTTTTGGGGTTGTACTACTCAAGGTACAGGTGAAACTTCCTGTGATAGCAAATAACTAAATGAGAAAAGATGTATTGATAGAGAAAATAATGTATCAAAGGATGAAATTCAAAGAAAATTCAATCATGCAAAACCTCTACCTCTGGGTTGTCAAACTGGTGACCTGTGGGCCGGATGCGTTACACACAGACCATGGCCCACCCTGGCTCCACAAATGCAAAAAACGTTGGGATACATCACAATACATCATGTGACACAATTGAGTTTGACACCCATGCTCTACTTCAGACATGTCAAACACGTGATGTCACGTGACATCGTGTGATGTATCGGAACTTTTTCCCCATTGCCGGCAAGGGAGGGTGCAGTTTCCTCATGATACGTCCGGCCTGTGGACCAGCAGTTTGATACCCCTACTCTATCTGAACAGTTTGAGTTGTTTAGTTTTGGGGAAGATTTATATTTTAATAACAATTAAGCTTGATTTTGGCTATTTTATCCTATTATCCTTCCTATATATTTATCCTATATCCTACCGCAGGGGTGTCAAACTCAATTTCATTGAGGACCACATCAGCATTGTGGTTGCCCTCAGGGGGCTGGGTGGGTGTGGCCAGGGTGGGTGCAGCTACTGGATGGGCCTGGATGGAGTGGGTGTGGCCCATTGGGTGGCATGGCCAGCTCTACATCATTCATATCAAGGGTGCCTGTGGGGGCCTGGGCAGGAGTGGGACAGATCTGAGGGTCTCTGGCAGAAGAGGGTGGGACCAGGGCAAGCGCCAAGGCATGGAGGAGCCTCACTGTTCCTCTCAGGCCATGCAGGGGGGCTGGATGGTGGTGCGGGCTGCCCAGAGCCCTGGGCAGCAGAGGTCAAACGCCCAGCCTGACCCTCAAGCACCTGCGGCACCAAGCACAGCCCCACTTCCCCAAGGGTGTGCCCAGCTTCACTTATCTCCTTCTCAAGGCTGTTGCTGCTGTGCTTCTTCTCCTTAGGCCAGGTTGCTCATGATGGGTACGAGGGCAAAGTCAGAGGGAGGCCCATTCCCTCTCCACGGGAGTAGATCTAGCTTTGCATCCAAAGCTTCCTTAGCAATAGGATGGGAGACCTCCAGGATAGGCCAGGAGGAAGGGGCAAGGGGATGGTAAAAGGGCAACAGGGAAGGACTAAGGCAGGATTTCCCTCAGACCCTCCCTCTCCTTCTTTCCTTCTTTCCTTTCTTCCTTCCTAAGTACAGAGTGGTGGGAAAATATCTGAGAAGAGGGAGGGAGAAAAACAGGCAAGAAATGCAGCTGGGGAGGTGTCACCCTTCGTGAGGAATGAAGAAATGCACCATCGCCTAGAAGTGGCCAGCACATGGCCCTTACCTACTTCACGTATGGTGGGCTCTGGGGGAAGGGATGCCATGAGCAGTGTGAGAGTCAACGTTACCTGCGCAATGCTGCCCAGCCCCCAGCCTGCCTGGTTTCATCAGGCAGCAGGGCACTCTCCTCACAGCTCTGAGAGGCTGAGCCAGGCAGCGCGAATCTGATGAGAAGTGCAATGCTGCCTAGCCCCCAGCCTGCTGGTCTCGGCAGACAGTGGGACGCTCTCCTCACAGCACTGAGAGGCTGAATCAGGCGGCGCAAATCCAAAACGAAGCGTGATGCCACCCAGCCTCCAGCCTGCCCAGTTTCAGCAGGCAGCAGGGTGCTCTCCTCACAGTGCCGAGAGGTTGAGCTGGGTGGTGTGAAGCTCGCCAGCTTTGCACCTTGCTGGCTGCTGAAACCTCTTATCATTTTCCACCCGGCTCAGCTCTTGGTGCTGCAAGGAGAGCGCCCCGCTGCCTGCCATAACCAGGCAGGCTGGGGGCTGGGCGGCCTTATGCTTCTTTTTGGATTTGTGCTGCCTGGCTCATCCTCTCAGCACTGTGAGGAGAGTGCCCCTCTGCCTGCCAAAACCCCTCCCCTGGAGCCCATCAAGCCAGATATGTGAAGTAGGTGAGGGCCATTTGCTGGCAACTTCCAGGTGATGGTGCATTTCTTCTGACACCTCCCCAGCATACACCCAGGGGGGCAGGGCCAATGCGGAAGGGGCTAGTTCCTTGCTGTTTCCAGATGGTCTTATGGACCTAAGACTGAATGCGTTTCAGCATACAGGGCCACAACAAAATTGTACATTGGCTCCTGGCTGGCCTGGGCCAGAGCCAAGGCAGTGGGAACCGTTCCCTCACTGTTTCCAGGATGGCTTCATGGGCCACATGAAACTAGTTCACGGGCTGCATCCTGCCCCCGGGTCTTGTGTTTGACATGTCTGTCCTACCCTATAATCCTATCTACTATATAAATTGATTGGGCAAAGAAAAAGTGGCTGACTTACAGGTACCTCTTATCCAGCTGCTGCCTGAGCAAATAGAAGCTTGATCCAAATATTTACAATTCCAATCCAACACTCTAACCCACAGGTCGGCAACCTGCGGCTCTGGAGCCGCATGCGGCTCTTTGAGCCTTCCCCTGTGGCTCCCAGCCTCCTCTGCCTTTGCAGAGAGAGACAGAGACAGAGAGAGGCAATTGCACTTCCCTGCTTCTCTCTCTCTCTCTCTCTCTCTCTCTGTGTGTGTGTGTGTGTGTCTCTCTGTGTGTGTGTGTAAAAGAGAGTGCACTCACAGTGTTCTCCGAGGAGCTGAAAAGCTTTCTGGGCAGAGCTCCTCCCTTTGCTGCATCTCTGCAGGAAGCAGGAAGCAGGAAGGGCAGGAGAGAGCTAGCTAGCCCAGCTAGGCTGACTCAGGAATTCTGGGAGTTGAAGTCCATGAGTCATAAAAGAGACGAGGTTGCCTACCCCGGAGGTTGTTGGACAACAGCTTGAAGCTTGCCAGGTGAGCAGCAGATAGGAGGGGGGGGGAGAAAGAGAGAGAGAGAAAGAGAGAGAGAGGAGAGAGAGAGAGTGGGGGAAGAGGAGTGGCAGACCAAGGGCAGATAGAGAGGGAGGGAGAGAGAGACCCTTTTGACATCTAAAATGAAGATAACACTGCATATATCCTTTTTTTACCTCTGTGTGTATGTAATTTTATTCTCTTAAAGCATTCTCTTGGTGATCATTGTTTTAATAGTATGGATATTCCCAAGAGTCATATTTTTACTTTTATTTTTAATGTGTGTGTGTGTGTGTGTGTGTGTGTGTGTGTGTGTGTATATATATATATATATATATATATATATATATACACACACACATACACATACACATACACACACACACACACACATACACACACACACACCTATAATAAAGGTAAAAAAGGATATATGCAGTGTTATCTTCATTTTAGATATCAAAAGGGTTTTGCGGCTCCCAGTGTTTTGTTTTTGGTGGGAAACGGGTCCAAGTGGCTCTTTGAGTGTTTTGGGTTGCCTACCCCTGCTCTAACCACTATACAACTTAACATGTTACATCTGAAAGGCCAAATTAAATGAGGTGACAAATATAATAGAAGCATAGAAAATTTGGGGGAAATTTTGGTGTAGACATGGGAAATAAAGGCATGATGAGGAAGTGTAAGAGAATATTTTTGGGCACAGATAAATGAGGATAGAATTACCCTTCTATCAATTCTGTATTCTAAATCCTATTCTCCAAAATTATTTTTTCTTAAGATTAAGAGAGAGACAGATAGTCTTTTGGATCGTATGAATTGTTGAATGTAGTGTGTTTTGATCCTAAGGTAGGGAAATAGTGTTCTATACTTAAGATCACATGAAGTGTTAATACCACTTTACAATGCCTTGATAAGGCCACACTTGGAATACTGCATCCAGTTTTGGTCACCATGATGTAAAAAAGATGTTGAGACTCTAGAAAGAGTACAGAGAAGAGCAACAAAAATGATCAGGGGATTGGAGGCTGAAACATATAAGGAACGGTTGCTGGAATTGGGTATGTCTAGTCTAATGAAAAGAAGGACAAGGGGTGACATAATAGCAATGTTCCAATATCTCAGGGGTTGCCACAAAGAAGAGGGAGTCAAGCTATTCTCCAAACCAGCTGAAGGCAGAACAAGAAGCAACAGATGGAAACTAACCACAAAGAGAAGCAACCTAGAACTAAGGAGAAATTTTCTGACAGTTAGAACAATTAATCAGTGGAATAACCTGCCTCCAGAAGCGGTGAATGCTCCAACACTGGAAATTTTTAAGAAGAGACTGGACAGCCATTTGTCTGAAATGGATTCAGGTTTCCTGCCAGAACAGGGGGTTGGACTAGATGATCTCCAAGGTTCCTTCTAACTTTATTATTATTACTATTATTACTATTATTATTACTACCACTACTATTACTATTATTATTACTATTATTATTATTTGTCCACCGGCATTGAGAGCAACTACTAAGTCTGAGTTTGTTTTTTGTCAACGGAAAAAGCTCTTAGAGGATTCCAACTGGCCTATCTGGATCTTCCATAAGTGATCATGCCCAGTGATTGCTAAGTTTCAAAGTTTCTAAATTTATCACAGACTACTAATTTGTTAACTTTTGGCTCAGCCAGACTGACTTTATTTTGGCAATTCATTTTCTTAACTATATATGAATTTCAATACCAGAGGCTTTATACCTGATTGTTGAGGAGCATCTATAGGAGGAGGCTGATTGCATAGATACCTGGCTGGTATTGTATATTTCTCATACATATTTAGCAAAGTGCTGCAGCAATAGAGTACTGGATGTCATAGCCCTTTGGTCAGATCCAGCATGTTTTTTTCTTAAATTTTCATTGTGTAACATGCTGACCAATCCAATACAGTTAGTCAACATACTAAAGTAATGTTTAACCTTAATAAAGTTTCTCAGATAAAAAGGGTGTGAACTCTTGGATATTTCTTTTTTCCCAATCTTCATTGGCAGAAGCCTTGACTAGACATTATAAGAAAAGCTATTCACAACTTTGTTTTTAACCATCTCTGCAACATGACCCTGGAGTGAGGTCTGAAGTTTAAATCTAAAATATCAGTTGGATCCTGGATTATATTTGTCTTTGGAAAATCTAATTGCTAAGTCATGGCGCTATAAGCTTGTTCTCCTTTTGGAAGTTCATTATTTAAACAATCAAAATAATTGCTACACCTGACAAAAAGCCAGCTAATTAGAACCATGGGCCAGTTCATCCCTCCAGTTGTGGAAAAATTTGCAATTTGGGACTATTTGATCTTTGCTGCCCTTTTTCTCGTCTCTTCTGGCATTGGAATCTTTTTTGCCATTAAGGAGCGGAAAAAAGCAAGCTCTGGGGACTTTTTGGTTGGTGGCAGGCAGATGACATGTGGCCCAGTGGCTCTGTCTCTCACTGCTAGTTTCATGTCAGCCGTCACTGTGCTGGGAACCCCAGCTGAGGTCTATCGCCATGGATCATCTTTCTTTCTGTTTGGCATAGCATATACGCTTGTCATCGTTTTTACTTCAGAACTTTTTCTACCTGTTTTCTACAGATCTGGGATCACAAGCACTTATGAGGTAAGTTCCCTTTTCTAGAAAGTGATTCTTGCTCCAGATCCTGGACCAAGACTCCAATTGGCCATCTAAGTCATTTGGGCAGCATCTTTGTTGTTATTTCTTTGTGGAGATGCTTGACATGACATCACTTCTTCTGTAAACTTGACATTCTGGGAAGAGCAGTCACAATATATTGTATCTAAAAGGCAGCATGATGCAGAGGAGACTACGATAATACAGAGGAAGAAAATGTGTTAAATTTTGCAAGGACAATGAATCTGTATATGCATTAGATAATAGTAGGCCTGCTTTTGGTTTCAAAGGACAGTCTATTTAATTAAGATAGATAAGATAAGATAAGATAACCTTTATTGTCATTTTTTTTTACTGTGGGCACAACAGCACACATCAAAAATGAAATTTAGTTGCCCATTCTCAAAGTGAGCACATACATAACACACACCTAACATACTATATACAATATTGAAAGGGACCATTGTGATCAACTTCTATAAATGTATTATTTCCCAACAATTATCTGTAGATTGCAAAAGATAGGAGGATAATTCTCATTTAAACATTAGATCATTGTCAAAAATAATAAAAAATAGTATATTTTGAAATAGTAAAGAATGATATATTGACAAAAGCCTACTCATCCCATGCTGAAATATCAAATATAAGGATTCTGTGTCATACACTTGTCTCATCTTAGTATGAGTATTTGTGGTTGTGTGTGTGTGTGTGTGTGTGTGTGTGTGTGTGTGTGTGAGAGAGAGAGAGAGAGAGAGAGAGAGAGAGAGAGAGAGAAAGAGAGAGAGAGAGAGAGAGAGAGAGAGAGAGAGCTTGAGTCCAGGGGACTTAGGTAGACAGACATATTTAGAATCTCTTACAAAATACAGACCAAATCAATATTAAAAAATCCTTTTTTTCTTTTCTCATTTCCCATTTCTCATTCTGTGTATTTTATTCATTACATATATTCAAAGAATGTCTGACTCCAACTAACTCTGAATGATTTGCATAATAAAAAGTCAGAATAATAAAACAGGGAAACAAATTAAACATGTCCAGAATGTATATGGGAACTAAATTCAAGAAACTGTAGCAAATAGTAATTGTATAGATCATAGTATCCATCTCAATAACAATAGAGGCTGGTTCTGGGACAATGGATTTTCTTCTAATGTTACATTCACAGTTTTGATTAATGATTTAATAGGAGAATATTTAATAAAAGATTACTTAACTAACCTCCCATTAGAAGCCACTAAGAATCCAATTATCTCATAAATGAAACCATTCTACCCTCATATATAGATGTAAAATTATAGTATCCTACTTGCCAAAGGAAATGAAATATTTCATGACGAGAAAAGACACTCCAAATTCTTGAAATGTAATTATAGAACACACTGCAGGTTTCTGTAATGGTTGACCACACTTTTTGGTTCTAGGTGTAGTTTGTAACCCATGCAATGATTTGGGCAGGTATCCACACAGAACCAAGTTTGAATATTGCAAGATGAAGACTTCAGCACGATTTAAATTATCCTATAAATGCTTGACATTTGTGGAGAGCTTCCTGTGGTCCACTCTTGAACCTGGGTGTGCAGTGTTGTTGACCATTGCTGCAAGTTAAATAAAGTTATGGATGTAGAAAAATTACAAGAGGTCCTCAACTTACAACAGTTCATTTAGTTCAAAGTCACAAAGTTACAATGGCATTGGAAAAAGTGACTTGGAACCATTTTTCACACTTATGACCACTGCAGCATTTCCTTGGCCACTTGATCAAAATTCAGATGCTTGGCAACTTGGCATATTTGTGATAATTGCAGTGTCCTTGGGTCATAGGATCACCTTTTGAGACCTTCTGCACAAAGTCAATGGGAAAGCCAGATTCACTTAACAACCATGTCACTAACAACTGCAGTGATTCACTTAATAATCGTGACAAGAAATGCCATAAAGTGTGTGTGGGGGAATTCATTTAACAACTATCTCACAGGAGCCACAGGAATTTTGGGCTCAAAGGACTACTGGTATTAATTGAACTTCAAGTTGCTGGTATTGCCTATGGGAAGACCAGTTTCACAATCATTACGGGAACTATTTCTTGAATAAAATGGGATGATAAAGCAACAGATATTTGTATTTACTGTAACCATCCTTTCACCCTAGTACCTGGAGTTAAGGTTTAACAAGCAAGTTCGCATGGTAGCAACACTGATTTACATACTGCAAACGGTAAGCCATTTTCTCCATATATTTGCATGATAAATGTGATTTCTAAATATCTTGGCAATAGTCTGTGGAATGGATAGAGCTTTTGTTCAAAATCAGCCCCATTTTCTTCTACAACACAGTGAATGTGATAGAGGATGTTTATGTAGTGTTTCTGAAATAAAAGAGTGATAGGATCCTGCACAAACAAGACTTTCAATCACCTAGGTTTCTCATAGCATCAAATTCTACATTTATACATGGAAGAACATAATCTTTCTGGATTTTCATCATTTATGATAAATCTAGACTCTTCCTAGTCTACAGGTTGCTATGACATTCTGTATTCAAGTGTGAGCTTTCCTTCTGAAACTTCAGCTTCAATTGTAGAACAGGTTTCCAACATAGACTGTGGGACTCTAAATGAAGACACATTTTTCCAGTTTAATCCCAGTTGCCATCATTTTAGCAAGCATTTATGTTGCACTTAAGTGTACTCTAAATAATGTGCTCTGTACAGTATAGAGTAGCTCATAGCTCAGTTCCATGTCGGGGGTTTAGGAGACATGAATTGTTTGCCTTGAACTAGTTTGTACCAAAACCTCTCATGCCCCAGAGATGCAGTGCGATCTGGTTGGCCATTTCAGGGATAATCCCTACCATTTTTAATTTGATGCATTCACATAACTTGTGAAACCACCCATAGAATCTTGTTGAGACTATGGAATAATTAATAACTGTGTGAGATTTCTGTTTTCACGTGTCTGATAATAAGTTAGTCTTCTTTCAATGGAATGCCAGAGGTATGATAGGTAAATATTTCTTTAAGTGTGATTTGTTTCAGAACAGTTAGGAACATCTTTATTTGTACTTTGCAGATGATAAAGAGAAAATCCTTCCTCCAACATCTTAGGCAACTATACCAAGAATCATTTTCAGGAAACTGTGTAGCGTGGATCACAAATAGCCAATGGAAAGTTGAGAGCTCTGTTGCTGTTTGAGACTGCTTCGTAAGCAGTATAAAGTTAATTGGCTTTTCTTGATGACAACTTCATGCATCTGCTTATTTAGGGAAATGTTTGTTCCCAAGAGACTTCCACTCTATAAATTAATTCCACATACCTAAAAAAGCATCAGCAGTAAATTGGCACCTTTTAGAAATGGTTCAGTTTGCAATTTTAGGACATTCTGTAAAACTGCAAAAAGTGATCATCCACTGGGACTCCAAGGTCCACCTCACAGTTACTGTTTTTGAGCCAGGTTTCACCCTAATCTTGTACCTTTGATTTTTCCTGCCTTTCTCCACATTAAATTTCATTTTGTTGGATGGGGCCTATTGTTTAAGTTTGTCAAAATATTTTTGGATTCTGAGCTTGTCTTCTGGAGTGTTGGCTATTCCTGCTAGCTTAGTGTCATCTGCAAATTTGATGAGTTCCCCTTCTATTCCCTCATCTAAATCATTTATGAAGATATTGAAGAGTACTGGACCTAAGACGGAACCTTGTGGTACCCCACTGCTTACTTTCCTCCATATAGATATAGTACCATTAAGAACTATTCATTGGGTAATTTGTCAGCCAGCTACAAATCCATCTGGTGATGAAGCTGTCTATCCCACATTTTTCTGATTTACCAAGAAGTAGATTGTGGTCTACTTTGTTGAATGCCTTACTGAAATCTAAGTATACTATGTTCACAGCATTTCACTTGTCTTCTAATTTAGTCACTTTGTTAAGGAATGAATTAATATTGGTTTGGCATGATCTGTTTTTAACAAACACATGCTGGCTTCAAATTATAACTTTATTTGTTTCTAGATGTTCACACATCTGTTTTTTATTATCTTTCCCAATATCTTCCCAGGTATTGATTTTAGACGGATTGGTTTATTTTTTGGATTTGCTTCAGATTGGGATCATTCACATATATATTCAAAATTACCTCCAATTAAAATAAGACTATTGTAATATGTTGAGAAAAGTTTCAAGGGTTTCCCAAACCTCTAACTTTAAGGATCACAGAATAAATCTCAGTTAAAACAGTTGGGCAATCTTCTGAATAAACAACAGTACATATTCAAACAGTATAAGTACATTTATTTATGTATACATACAATTAAATACATTTAATTAATTACCATGTACCTTTGTAAATTCCAATATTTCTTGCATCATCAGTTAATGAAATTATGGGAAGGCCAAGTTGAGATGGGAACTGGGGGAATTTGAGGTCCAGCACTTCTAGAAGTTAGGCTCATGTACAAGGTCATTTTTCTGCATATTTTTCCAAACAATCACATGGATTAAAATAGATCCTGAGGGACCCAAGAGTATTCTATGAATTTTATGCATTTTGAATTCTTCTTTGAAGCCTAGTCTGAAATTCTAACCTCATATCTAGGCTATAATTTAGAAATCAATATATATTATTTAGGACAAGAAGCATGACTATTTTCCCAGCTAGTGGCAGGTAGAACTGCTGCTATCATTTTCAACCTAAAAGACTGGACATAGTCACACAGATGGTAAAGGCATGTTAAACTGGGGGAAAATGGGGCAGACAGTGTAGAAGAATGCATGAATATCATTCATAAATGTATCTTCCCATTTGTGAGTGAACCTGCCTCTGTTGGCAGTGCCACTTTCCAGTCAAAACCTTGGCATATGATCCCATCTGAATCTCCTTTGTTTGTTAATTTTAGCTGTCTTTTGAATTTTGAATCTGCTCCCTATGAATATTTTTCTTATCTACTCTTCATAGACTCTTTACACAGGAGTGGTAGTTTATGCTCCAGCTTTGGCTCTCAATCAAGGTAAGTATTTTGTTGTTGACTTGAAAAGGACAGGAGAAAAGGGGAATTTGTTTTCTGTTATCTACCTATCTGAAAGCTCCTTTCCCCCTCACTTTTCCTTCTGATATACGTTATTTTTTTCCCCTTTTGCTAAAAAGTAACTAAAGACGATAGATTCTGAATAGTTTTCTCAAGTTCTGGGCAAAGGGCCCAGTTTAAGATAATGGATCAAGACTTTCTTCTGTACTTTGACACTTTCTGTCCTTCCAGCCCATTGCTTTAATGCCTTACGTAATGTGAAACAGGATAAAGCTGAGATTTCTCATCCTATTGATTTGGTGTTTCTGGTGTTTTTGTTAGACTGATAGGAATTCTTTTGCTTTCCATTGAGATTTGGCCAATGTATTTGATGAACTGAATTTACCATCTTTGCAAACAAAAACAGAAAACTATAAAAGGTGGAAATGAACTTTAGTTTGCAGCACATAAAAGAAAATGATGGTAACAGATTAAATAACAGTTGTTACTCTCCTACTCTTGTATATTTAAAAATAAACTATAGTTATTTTTTTTAAAGTAACCTGCAGTATATCTAATTACACTTCCTTTGGCTTTTTAGTGACTGGATTTAATCTCTGGGGCTCAGTATTTGCAACAGGAATTGTTTGCACCTTCTATTGTACACTGGTATGTTTCTGTTATAGTTCAACTATAAATGTTTTTAAAGGAATGGTTAAATAACTGGCATTTATGTTCTAATGGGGGTCTTATAGTTGAACACAAATATTAAGATGAACTAGGAAACTTCAGTATTTTTTTTCTACAATAATCAAACATGTTATATTCTCAAATATATACCCACTCACTGGAACATACTAAATGGGCAGAAACTATTGGAGATCCCTAATAAATATTTGGGAGTTGTGCTCACACTTAAAATAAGCATGTATCAGCTATCCTATCCTTTATTCATTTTTAAGCCTGTTCATATTATGGTAAATGGCTGAAGAGTTTACATAGGATTGAAGGGAAGGCTTACTAATGAGTGGAAATTCATAGGTAGACTAAGTGGCCCATACTTTGGGGCCACTCGTAGTCTATCCTATAGCATGTGATTATTGTGAAAAATCACTGCAGAGAAAGTATCTTTTACATGAGCTCAGTTCCATGATACACTGTTAATTGGTTGTGGGTAGAAAAAAAATGAGCTAATCAATATTTAACCTAATATAACTTGGTTAAAAGTAGAGCTTTAAACTGAATTGGTGCACCTAAAATCAAGATAAATACAATATTATTTTTTTCTTTGATTTAGGGAGGGTTGAAAGCTGTTGTCTGGACAGATGCCTTTCAACTGATTGTTATGCTGATTGGGTTCCTGACAGTTTTAGTTCAAGGAACTCTTAAGGCTGGGGGTTTTAGAAATGTTTGGGAAAATGCTCAAAATGGATCACGTCTCAATGTCTTTGAGTAAGTAGAATGGCTTCTCACAATCTGGTTTATTGTTTGTAATGATAGGTAATCATGACTCATTCCTCCACCCCACCCCATCCCCAAAGGTGTTAAAATAAAATTTCTTGAAATCTGGTAGGTTAAATGTGAATGATCTCAGGCAAACCTGGGACTGAAGGGACAAAGTATGTTCATAAAACAATTTAAGACAGTTTCAAAAGGGTCAAAAGAGTGATTTGATGGCCAGAAGAAAATCAAATTGGTTATCACTTAGAACAAATATGGTATACACGGGAATTAAAGCAAAGTGGTAAAAGCCATAAAGTGGAAGGCCAACGAGAAAGAACTGGCAGTTCAAAAAACAGAGAATTGCTCTACAGAATGCATGGTAGTTCAGTAAGAACTGCAAGATATATTTCTATAAAAGTTGCTTTTATAATAATAAAAAAAGAGCAAGAACAGTGATAAGGGAGGAAAAACACAATCAGGTTTACATTAACATGAAATGGCAGAGCAGCACAGAATGAAGTGGGTTTTTTTTGTTGGAGTGGGGCAAGAGAAAGTTTGGGGAAAATAATAGTGAAACAGAAAAAATGGATTGGAGAAAACAATATCGTGTTGCCATCTAAACAGTACAGATAAGAAAAAAAAAACACTTACAAATGTAATTGTTGAAATACAATCATTTAGAATGTAAAGTCTCTGTCAAGTAGGTTTTGAATCCAGATATTTTCATGAACACATTCACGTAGTAATTACAACAGTGATATGCAAACAGTTTGCCATACCTTCTTCCAGGATTATAGCTAAAAAAAAATATAAAAGGGAGGAAATTGAGATTTCAATTAACTATTCCACTAATTTTGTCTAATGGGCTTAGAAGTGAGTGAAAAATCAAACATAATTCTTGCTCTCCTGTTCTTCTTTAAACCCCAAAGAGGGGGGTCTATTGGCAGGATTTAAGAATAATTGTCTGGACTAGATGACCACCTGAACAATTCCAACATTGAACTTCTTACCTTCTTTTTGGTGAAATCCATTATTTGTCCAAAATGGTATAGGGTTTCCTGTCTGAGCAAGGGGTTGGAGTAGATGACCGCCAAGGTCCCTTCCAACTTTATTATTATTATTATTATTATTATTATTATTATTATTATTATTATTATTATTATTATTATTATTACTACTACTACTACTACTATTATTATTTGTGCAAAGATTCCCATTTTAGCATCTGGCCAACTTTGTGTAGTTGTAAACGGGATTGGGTCTGGTTAGTATTTAGATCAGATCAGTTTGAACAAGAACTATACATGTTGCCTATTTCAAGACAGAGTCCTGATTTCAATATAAGTCTCTTTAGTTATGCAACTTGAGTATTTATTTTTTAATCTGGATTTCAAATTATAAGAAACACCAAATAATCAGTTCATGTGTGGGTAATAATTCCACCCTGGGAGCACAGTGGTTAGAATGCAGTATTGCTGGCTAACTCTACCCACAGCCAGGAATTCAATTCTGACTGATCGTGAGGTTGACTCAGATTCCATCCTTCTGAGGTCAGTAAAATGAGGACTCAGATTGTTGGGGGCAATATGCTGATATTGTAAACTGCTCAGAGAGGGCTGTAAAGCGCTATAGGGCATTATATAAGTCTAAGTGCTACTGCTATTGCTATTCCTTCCAAATCTATGTATTTATTTAGATCTGTTGACTGGATTCCTGCCTTGAAGTTTCTTAATTCCAGTAGAAGCAAATTAGTTTTAAACTAGTCTGCTATTTAAACAACAGCCAATTAATAATTTTCATGTCTTATTTATGTAGCTTTGATTTTGACCCCCTGAGAAGACACACATTTTGGACAATTGCAGTAGGAGGAACATTTACTTGGCTAGGAATTTATGGGGTAAATCAGTCCACAATACAAAGGTGCATTTCGTGTAAAACAGAAAAGCATGCCAAACTGTAAGTAGCCATCAAAGTTAATGTAATTCGAGATTAGAATTTAATTATTTTTAATTTTTTTTAAAAAATCTATTAATTTTTTTAAAAATGAACTATCTCATTCATAATGTTTGGGATGCTTTAACTGGTCATTGAGAGAGGTCCAGCAGAAAATTCCCTACTCTTGTGTGGTCTGTGTTGCATGAGAGAGAGAGATGGAAGGTCATGTAAGAGGGTGGCCTCTACCCTTCGGAGATGGACAATATAAAGGACACATGGGTTGGGGTATACAAAGCTTTGGAAGTAGCATACAATTGTCTAACTAGAGGGGTGCCCAATCTCCTCAGTTTTTCAGAAACAGAATGAATCTGGATTTTTATTTGGATACTTGAGCTGGATATTGATACCCCCTCTCCTGAGTTCTGCCTTATGATTTTAACTATTATTTCAATCCACTTTTGACTGTGCTTCCCTTTATTGGGCTTATTGGGGATTCATCATTGCTTTATGTGATTTTTTTTTTTGGTTTTATTATATATTTGTATCCCACCTTTATTATTTTTATAAATAAGTTATATTCATCACAGCTTTTTTCTCCTATTTTCCTCACAACAACCCTGTGAGGTGGGTTGGGTGGAGAGAAAGTGACCTGCCCAAGATCATCGAGCTGGCTGCATGGTCAAGGTGGGACTTGAATTCATGGTCCTCATTTTCTACCATGGTAGACCAGTAGAGCAAACTGACTTTCTTATCAGCATTGATTGTTGATTTTTGTGATTTTTTGTTTGTTTGTTTGTTTATTTTCTCTTTTTATTGCTGTTTTATGTTGCCCAGGATCCTTTGGGACTGGCATCATTTATTAGTACAGTCTTAACAGAGTGTCTAGCCACAAAGATAAGATTTCAAATATTAAATGTGAAATTCTACTTCCATCTAAATTCACAACAGAGTGAAGGATTATAACCTTCCAAGTTGTTTTCCACAAAAATCACATTCATGTGTGTCAGGGACAGGGAAATTTAGTAGTACACTTCAAAAAAACCCTCTTGGACACTGAAAGAACATATACAGAGTCGCAGGAAGGAAATATATTAAGAAAAGAGCAGGAACACATCTCAAACAACTGGGAACATGTACTAAGGGGCAGATTGTGGACTTCTTTCATTGTGGCACACAGAGAAAGGTTTAAATCTTTGCTTCTTTTAACTGAGGTAAGAAATGTCTTGCCAAAAACTAATGTGACTATACTCTGAGATAGCATTTAACAATTTTCAGGACACTTTTTAAAAATAAAAAAGCAGTGCACAAAAATGGTTATTTTTCTTTATTGAATGATTTCTAACTGATTTTTTTTTCTTTTCCTTAGTGCGCTCTACTTTAATTTGCTGGGATTATGGATCATCCTGGCATGTGCAGTCATCTGTGGATTGGTGATGTATTCCTTTTTTATGAGCTGTGATCCTTGGACTGCAGAGTTCATTTCAGCACCAGATCAGGTAAAATTGTAAACAGAGAATTGTTCTGTGATCTGAATTCTTTTTAAAATGCAGCTGTGCTGAACTCAGCGGTACAGGATTATTTGAGTATTTCTTGTACTGTAACATTTTTAATAATGTGCAAATGGAGTCTTCTGGAAATTTATGTGGGGACATTTGCAAACACTCCTGTTGAGTTCTAAGTTCCATGTATAGCAATAAAAAGCGCTTATCAGGAATGAGAGGAACAATAACTGCAAACTAATTAGTGCATATATTTTTATATGCTGCATAGTTATTTCTTGTGAGATGGGCAGTCATGATTAATAAATAAATAGATAGAACCAGCAAGCAAGCACATTAATAGCTACTAAATAGCAATCACACTTAGACTTATATACCGCCCCATAGTACTTTAGAGCACTCTCTGAGCAGTTTACATATTGCCCTCAACAATCTGGGTCCTCATTTTTACTCGGAAGTATGGAAGGCTGAGTCAACCTTGAGCCCTATCAGAGTCAAACTCCAGGCTGTGGGCAGAGTCTAAAACCTCTGGTCTAACATCAGAAGAGCTTAAAAGATCTATATGAATTAGATAACTAGTCCATTTAGTTTAGTGCAGAAGGACAACTGAAAGTCAATGGACAATCATATTCTTTGTGGCTTGAAAACCTACTCTGATGACCTTATATCTTGTTCTTTTTAAAAAGTTTTGTTCAAACATAATTTTTAAAAATAAAAAATAAAAAATTGGGAAGGGTGTGATGAATCCCAAATCCTGGTTGTACCTCTTCTGGTTAATGTCTTAGCATTTCTGCTGAATCTACTGCAAAGGATGGGCAAAATAAAGAGAAGAAAGACAGTTTATCTGTAGACAATTTATCCACAGCTAGTAGCAATTTTCTCAGGATGGGATCTCCGTGACCAGGAAGTAGTGAAGATTGAACTTTCAGCATTTAGGTATTCATCTCAGATGAATTATCAATTTATATGTCATATTTCTTCTTGATGAATCAGCCACCATACAGGCTGTCCTTCCCTTCTTGAAATCTAGACCCTACACTAACCAAGTTACAGGAACAAAGGCCCTCTGCTCCTTAGCTTCATTTACTTCATTGGAGAGTAAAGCACATGATGGTGTTCTTCACCCTGAGATTTATGAAGTTCATGAGCTCAGTCTATGTGTGCGTTAAAGTTGTTTTGTATAGCAAGAGTGTTCTTCATCTTTCTTCTCTCCTTTTTTCCCCTCCAGCTAATGCCATATTTTGTGATGATAATATTTTCATCGATCCCTGGACTTTCAGGCCTATTTGTTGCATGTGCGTTCAGTGGAACACTAAGGTCTGTCCTATGCTGGATTTAATGGAGGTGTGTCAAACCAAGCCTTTGAGAGGCCCTAAGCACTAGAGGGAATGAAGTTCTTGAAAAGGCTGCCTTGTGTCCCTTCTTTCCTCTTTCTACAATGTAATGCTGTCCACTCTTTGTTTTTCTGACTGCAAAGCCTGCAGTGACAGACGTATAACTTCTTTTTCTAAATTTATTTTCAAAAGCATGATATCATCTATAAACTGTTAGATTATGTGTGTGCGGCACATATATTATCTAGTATATGGCACATTAGTAGCATATGTTAGAGCAGGACTTTTCAACCAGTGGTACGGGTACCACCTGTGGTACATTGGCACCTGGCAGGTGGTACGTGACCATCCTAGAAAATGGTAGCGGGGGAGGGGAATGAGCTGAACCGGTGGCAGCACCGCACAAGCCTGAGCGAGAGATGGTTGGAGCTGCAGGGCTGTCAAGGCTCAGCGGAAGCACCAGGATCAGCATCAGGCTCCAACTGGACCTTGGTGCTGATCCTGGCACTTCTGCTGAGCCCAGAAGAAGCACCGATCAGCTGGAATGTTGCAGCATTTCCAGGGTCTTGTGATTTACATTCAGATGCTTGGCAACTGATTCATATTTATGATGGTCACAATGTCCCAAGATCATGTGAAGTAACCAAAACCTGTTGCAACCACGCAGCAGACGGGGGGAATAAAAACCAACACCCCCACCCCATCCCCGCTGTCAATCCTCAACAGAAATGCTCACAACAATGAAAACCTCGGACAGGAGGAAGAGCGCCACCGGGTGAGCAGGCAGGTGTCTTGCTCTGCTGTGGCTTGGGAGGCACTTTTTCAGTGCCATTGTAACTTCAAACAGTCACTAAGCGAACTGTTGCAAGTTGAGGATTATCTGTACTTTATCACTTTTTTCCTTTTTTTTGTCATCAAGTTTTTGACACCTTGCTAGGCGACTGACGGTACTCGGATGTTGCCATATCCTAAAAGTGGTACAATGGGTGAAAAGGTTGAAAAGCTCTGTGTTAGAGTATTAGCATTAATTATTCTTTAAGAAATCCTTGAAAATCAGAAGGCCAGGATGAGTACTGGGGATTTGAGGCAAAGGATGCTTAGAATAGGATAATGTGCTTTTTGTAATAGGCAAATGAGTTATTCCACTGATTCCTTGTTCCTTGTAAGATGCTACATTTGTAAGACTGAGTGGGAGGCAAAAGAGAAAGAGATTTTTGGGAGAGGCTAGAAGGAAAACTGAAATAGATAAACTGTAATAATATGTTGACTTTCCTAATATTTCCATTTTTCCTTGAAGGTAACTATTTAAATATCCTTCAGATATCCGAGATCCAGAGATCTTAATAAACTTTATCCACACCTTCAGGAAGGAAGGAAACAATGGCAATCACTTCCAAAAATGTTGCCAAAAAAACTGTAGGGCAGTTGCCAGAAATAAAGACTGATTCAAAGGCACAAAATAAACAAACAACAAAGAACCAAATAAAGAACACCCACCACTATAACATCTTCATGTAGGGAAACTCTTTTTGATGCTGTAGATTTTATGTCATTGCATGATCACCTAATTAGATACTGTATCAAGAGTTTAATTATTCAAGTAATGGAAGCAGAACTTCTGTTTATAAAAAGGGATATCTGTACTAATGTAAAATCTTTCCATTTTAATGCAAGAGAAGTCATATATGCCAGCTTCACCCTAAAGGAGGGAAGCAGAGCCATGGAAAAGCAATGTGAGATGCAGAAATAGTAAAAATGTCCAGCAACAAGAATGCACAAAAATGAACAGATACTTTAATTCCCATAATGGATGATTGGAGTTAGTCAATGGCTTAATTATCTGCTTTAATTAAAGAAAAGAATATTTTTTTTCTACTTGGAAACTTCTGGACTTCGTGCTTTGAGATGAAAAAAAATGAAATTTGGGTTTTGCTTAGATAGGTTTATTGTTGTAGAAATGACTAGTATATATTATTGTATAAAAGTAAAAGTTGAGGCTGTATGTTATAACCTTACTCTATTCTACTAAAAAGAATTGGAAGTCCATGCTCCCCCCCCTTTTTGTTTTTTCCTTTTCTACCTTCCCTCATTTATTTTCCCATTACTTTAATTTTTTCTTTGTATAAACTAATACAAAATTCATGAAAAATAAAAGAAACAGTAAAAATATCATAGGCCTTAGCTATGATGGTGTTAGTAAACCTTGGCTCAAAAATAAGATAATGGGAAAAGCTGCAACATAAGAATTCACTTGGTTGAAGTGTATTCATTCACTTTATTAATCAAGGATGCTTATTTGAGTTATATGAAGAAGAAGTTAGGATTAAAGCAAACCATAGCATTATATAATGTCTGAAGCCAATAAGTAATCTCTGTTCAGTGAATGCAGTTAGATCAATTCTTGCTCTGAAATAAAGTGTACTTTTTCCCAGTTTCACAATTTTGAATCTGTCTCTATTGGGCAAAGTCTAAATTCACACAACAACATACTAATCTAAGCTAAAATGGAATGGATGTTGTAGGAATCCCACTGTTTTAGCAGGTTATGAACCAAGCAACCACATGATCTATTTTGTTTAGCCTTTATAGGAACAAGAAATTGTGCTTTAATCCAAGTTTAGTATATTATGTAAACACAAGGGAATCTCGACTGTTAGCAACATTTAACTAATAGTTATTATTTGTGGAACAGAAAATTCAGCTATTTTAGTATACAGAGTAATGGTGGCAGTATTAGTAATATAGAACAGGGTCTCTGTCCTATTTAGTTTACCTCATATTTATTTCTTCATTTTCTTTCTACTTCTTTTGCAATACTATCCCATAAAAGGCTATTTGGTAGATGGGTGGAAATAATTTAGCATTACTTGTCCCAGGACCTGTCACATTTTAAGGACTAATTTATCATTCTGACATTGTACATGCTTACTTTTATAGCACTGTGGCTGCAAGTATAAATGCTCTGGCAACAGTAACATTTGAAGATTTTGTCAAGCACTTTTTTCCAAAACTGTCTGAGCGTGCAAGCACTTGGACCAGCAAAGGCTTATGTACGTGGAAAATATGACTTTGATTTTTCTTAACTTTAAATGAAACTGTTTCTTAATCTATCGTTCAAAATGAAAATGTCTTTAAAACTGTTATGTTTAAACTTGCCACTTTTCAAAAATCCTTAATACAATAATACAATATTAATGTGTCTGGGCAATCTTATAGTTTCTCTTATCAGTATATGCAAAGAAAGGTATGATTATTTAATAATGATTTGCTTCCTTTTGAGATGTTTATTCTAAATTATCAGCAATAATTTTGGAGTAGTATATGCAAATATGTTGGGTTCTTAATCAGATGCATCTAGATTATAGTTTTTTATAAAATCAGGGAGGGGGGTTAATAGATTCATCATTGAGTTAACATAATGTGTTCCACCATCTTCTGAGCTGTAGGCTCAAGACCGCTGCATATTAACTAGTTTAAAGAAAGTAAGTGCTTCCTTAATCTGTACACATTTTTAATTAAGGCATGAATTTTTAATCTATTGACCATCCTTGAAAGAAATAGACCCAAACAAAGATAAAACCTAACAGCTAAAAGCACAGCCATCAATACATATGAATAGCCACGTAATAGTCTGGATTACTCTTCCTTTATATTTTGATTTAAATATTTATGCTCAAACAGATCATTGAAATGTCATTCTGTAGCATTATAATAGAATGTATGCTTTGCTTATTGACAATCCCTATCATAACCTATGAAAATGATTTTAGATAAAATACATGATATATGTCATATTTTTTCCTAGAAAGTATGCCATTAAATATATGCTTTCATTGGAAATTACATTGGTGTCTATCCATGAGTAATTGAGTAATTATTTCAGTGCCCTCAAAACAGCAGCATGAAAGGGGAAAAAGGTTATTTTAAAGAAATATGACTAGTATATATAATAAAGATGTCAGCATCATACTGCATAATGCAGTTTGGAATAATAACTTGAAAATAAGTTGGAAATTTCTTGGAAATTTCTGGTGAAGGAGCAAACGTGGAACTGATTTCATCTGATTTTGCCATCTCCCTTTATCTAGTTATTTTTTCTGTAAAAAAATCTTCTGTGAAAGCTTCAGGCAATTATGGAGATTAAAGGAGAAGGGAAGAATGGCAAAATATTCTATACCAAATTTTCTGCTTCCTGGAAGGTCCCATATGGAGTAAATCTCAGGGAACATTCTTACGATAGGAGGAAATTTTGAAATCCATCCACTGCTGTCATTAGTTGTCAATAATCTGATGAAAATACATTTGAATGTACATAATAAAAATTGCTTCCTTTTCTCCAGGCGTAGTATTTGGAGGGCTGTGTACTATAATGGCTGTAGCTGCATCACTTATGGGGGGTGTTGTGCAGGTAACTACACAACTAAATGTTTGGTGTGACCTTGGATTTGTATCATTCTCCCTGAATAAGGAAATTTCAACTTCCATAGTGAGAACATTTGGCTGATGGCTTTAAAAGTCTAAAGAGCTCTGCTCAGATTAAATTCACAGACTTTTTCATCTGCTATTAAACCCATTCATATTTATATGTCATCAGTTGCTTTCCCTGCACATTATCATCAGGAAGAATAAACATAGAACCCATTTAATTGAAATAACTTTTCTTTTTGATTAAACATGTTATCTCTTTTATCCTTGAGAATAAATAAGGCACTTACAAATATAGGCAATGTGTATATGCAGGATTAAATTGTATTTCATTTGTATTCATGAATCCTAAACCATGAAAGTATATAGGGTCCTCCTACTTTACTAAGTATGCCATGTCACATCTACCACAGGAGTCTCCTGGATAGACCCAAGAAACCAGAAATTATGGCTGTGATAATTTTGCACATCTATGCACATGTTTAAGTGTCTGGTATTTAAATAAAGAACTATTAGTTGCCTCTTCATATGAGTTTAATAAATAAAAAAATATACACAAAATGGATTTGAGTAAACAATAAATAAAAATCTGCTTAAAATGGATTTGAATAAGCAAGATATGAAAATACATATCTTGTTGGAGATAGATATACTTCTCTTTTTTATTGCAGACGAGGTAGTTTGAGTTGGATAGTGTTATAGAAGTAAATTTTCTAAAGGAATTTTTTGCGCCTACAACTTTTCATCTGGAATTTTCTGGGTCACGTTGTGCTAACATAACAAAACTCTATGTGCAAGCGACTAATTTTTAATTCACAGACTTTTTTTTTAAACTTTATGTTTAAAATATTTCTTTTTAATGTTATACCCATGTATTATGCAAGAACCATGGGCCCTGAAAAAAACCCTCTGTAAAACAATTAAACAGTATGTTATAGAAATAGGATACATACAGTATGTTTAGCATATATTTGATAACTGTGATATGTTTTCTAACTAGGCTTCACTTAGTATCCATGGAATGTGTGGAGGACCTATGCTGGGATTATTTACACTGGGAATTATTTTTCCTTGTACTAATTGGAAGGTAAGTAACAAGAATAATATTATCTTTGCATATATATTCTATTACTTTTGTTGATTTTTATTATTGATATCAAACATAGCAAATGATCCCTCCTTCATGACACTTTATTGTTAGCTATTGTTGTGATATGGGCAATCTTCTTATTGCTCCATAAACTTTGAGTCTCTTGCCAGATATTAGGAGATGCTGCAGCTGATGTCCTTTAGGAGTGACAAATACTTTTCCTAGCGTAGAAGACTTACAGGTATTTAAAATTTGACAACTCCAGTAATACTATTTCATGGTTGCATTTGTTTAAGGGTGCTTTTGGTGGCCTCGCTACTGGAATCACTTTGGCATTTTGGGTTGGCATTGGAGCTTTTGTGTATCCTGCTCCACCATCAAAAACTCTGCCACTCTACCTTTCAACAACTGGATGCAATAGGACTGATACGTTTGTACCCATAGTTCCGACTTTAGCTCCTGAAAGGTACTATTCTTAGCTAACTATATATTCCTATCCTATCTATATATTTTATGGCAGTGATTCGTAATTGCTTTCCACAGTAATTATCGCCAACTATTATAATTAATCATTATATTTCAATCTATCTATCTATCTATCTATCTATCTATCTATCTATCTATCTATCATCATCATCATTATTATTCTATCTATCTATCTATCTATCTATCTATCTATCTATCTATCTATCTATCTATCCATCCATCCATCCATCCATCCATCCATCCATCCATCCATCCACTCACCCTACCTACCTACCTACCTACCTACCTACCTACCTACCTACCTACCTACCTACCTACCTACCTACCTACCTATCTATCTATCTATCTATCTATCTATCTATCTATCTATCTATCTATCTTTTGTGATTCTATGCCAGCCTGTGCTCCCAACAGCTGAGTCTGAGGAATCTGAGGAGGAGGTGGAGGAGGCATTTGAAGGGCCATCAGGGGCAGAGGGAGGCTCTGATGAATTACAGGAGTCACGGTATGATGCAGAGCCTGGGCCCTCCAGTCGTGTTCCTGATGAAGCTCAGCTGTGTGAGGAAAATGAGTCAGACTCAGAGGACTCACACCTGATGGACATGCTAATTGATGCACACACACGAGAGTAAATTAGCAAGAGTAAATCAGCAGCAGTCAATACGGCAACTCCAGAGTAAAAGGAGAAGGCACTGAGAGGCAATGCCTTGGAACTGCTGTATAAAAAGAGGAGGTGTGGGCGGTGCTGGTTGATGAAGGCAACCATTTGAAAAGTACTTCTTTGAATCCTGGTCTGTTCATCTTGCTTGTGACTACTCTTCTGTTTGCATCGTATTTCCTGTGGACTATTTCCTTCATTTGGATTGAGTTTTACTGTTTGTGTTTTGGACTATTTGGCAGGTTTGTCACCCATATTAAAAGAGGTTTGTTTTGTTTTAAAGTCTCCAGCCTATTTTATCAACAGGGGTTTGGTCCTTGTGCCTTTAACAAGGACGGCTATAGGCTGGGATAGAACTCTATCTATCTATCTATTTATCTATCTATCTATCTATCTATCTATCTATCTATCTATCTATCTATCTATCTGCTCTCTCTCTCTCTCTCTCTCTCTCTCTCTCTCTCTCTCTCTCTCTCTCTCTCTTGTTGTAGTTAGATATAATTAAATTGCAATTAAACTTATGATATCTTAAAGTTTATCAATCATCTATATGGTATTAGGATGTAAACTCAATTGGAAAGGAAATTGTGTTTACAGCACAACAATTATTGACTTTTGTTCCATTTTGTCTTCCTAGGCCTTATTTAGCAGATTCCTGGTATTCTTTGTCATATCTCTACTACAGTGCTGTTGGGTGTCTTGGATGTATAATTGCAGGATTACTGATTAGTTTTGCAACAGGTCAGTTCTTTACTGATATTCACAGTCCTGAAAACAACCTTATTTTTTTAACTGTTCTATTATCTATGGGCTTTAACTATTCGTTGAAACAAGCAAAATGATAACTTTATTTTTTTTAAAAAAGTATTTTATTATTTTTTTTATCATTACAATTAATGAACAACGTGTTGTCTGGGTTAATTTTTGCTTAATCATAAAAGTTAAGTTCTTACTTTCTATCTCGTTTTCCCAACCATTGATAAAATAGGTTCCATGTTTGAAAGTATTCTGTATCTTCTTTTCCTTTAATTCTCAATGTGAGTCTATCCATTTCCGCACAGTCTAATATTTCCTCTGATGGTGCTATCTCATTTTTCCAATGCTGCGCAAATAACAATCCTCGTTGCTGTTAATACATGTATAAACTTAACCCTCAGAAACAAAATATTGTTATATTTAGAAGGATATGACTTACAACTTAGGTGGCATGCATTTTTATGTTATGAAAATAATAAAACCCATTGATACTTTCAAAACCATTGTATAAGAAATGCATTATTATCTGTATGGGAAAAGATAAAACTAAAAATTTATATGAAAATCCCAGGATGGCTATCAATGATGGAAGTCTTTGTTCACTCAAACCTAGTTTAAATTTGAAAAAAAATTAACATATAAAGATATTCTGAATACAGATGAAAGATAGCTTTACTTTTAATGATCTGGACATTTTCAAGGCTGGTTAATTTCTCAAACAGGAAACAAGATATTTCATCTGCAATTGTTGATCCAGTACGGGACTATAAAAGTTACAAACAGGAGAAAAAAGGAAGTAATTTTACCTAAATCCTTTCTAAGAATGAAAGATGTATATAGGACATTTGGAGAGAAATGTACCCGGAAAAAGCACAATACACTTTTTATTCTAACAGACATAAATCGTGGTCAAGAATTGACATGATATGGACTTCTTTGGACTTAAAGGCCATGATACAAGAAATTGAAATAGAATCTAACATTTGGGCAGATCATAATTCAATGAAAATGACCTGGAAAGGACTTACGAAAAGACCAAGATGGTCCTTGAATAAATCAATATTGAAAGAAAAGGAGTTTTTACAATTTGCAATAAAAGAAATGGAATTCTTTTTTAAAGTCAATAAAAAAGAAGAAACCTCTATTCAAATTGTATGGGACATGGCAAAAGCATATTTTAGAGGTTTGCCCATAACTTATTTTGTCAAAAAGAATAAGGAAAAGAAACTTGTTCAATATAGATTGAAAGAACAACTCAGTATGTTGGAAGCTGAACTACAATCAGACCCTCAAAAGAAAAAGTTGAAAATACAAATGGAACTATTAAAACATAAGTTAAACTTACTTGAGACAAGTACAATGGCACAACAGATTAAAAGGTCTAAACAGAATTTTTTTGAAAATGCCAATAAACCTGGGAGATGGCTGGCATACAGATTAAAAAAAGAAAGAGAAAAAAGATTAATAAGTAAGCTATGGGATACGGACGGTGACCTACAATGTCACAATAACTTAATGAAAAAAATTAAAGGAGTACTATGAGACACTGTATAAGGCGGAGATAGTTTCTAAAGATGTAATTCAGGCTTATTTAAAAGAAGCAAATCTCCCAAAGGTTCCTGAGAATATGCGTCAGAGGTTAAATGAGAATGTTTCAATGATGGAGATTATAGAGGCTATAAAAAAGCAAAAGAAAGATAAAACACCAGGACCTGGTGGTCTTCCTGCTGAATTTTATGTAGCGTTACAAGATACTATAACTCCAACTTTGAAAGACTTATGTAATGAAGTTTTTACACAGACAAAAATACTGGATTCATGGACTGAAACCAATATTACTTTGATACCTAAAGAAGATACTGATCATACACTAATTAAAAATTACAGACCAATATTGCTCCTAAATGTGGATTAAATTTTTTTTTTGCTGCAATAATGGCACAAAGAATGAAAATTTTTTTGAATGAATTTATACACCCAGACCAAAATGGTTTCCTACCAAAAAGACAGATAAAGAACAATTTGAGGATTATTTTAAATGTTTTGGAGTACTATGAAATCTATCCAGGGAACCAGATGGCACTTATATTCCTTGATGCACAAAAAGCCTTTGATAAATTGGCAATTTATGTTTCAACAACTTCAAGAAATGGACTTTGGTGAAAATTTTAACAAAGCAATTCAAGCAATTTATAAGAAACAAACAGCAAGAATACTTTTAAATGGAGATTACACAGATGGATTTGAGATTTAAAAAGGCACTAGACAGGGATGCCCATTGTTTCCTCTGTTGTTTATTCTTACATTAGAGGTTCTGGAAAGAAATATCAGACAAGATACAGAAATTAAAGGTTTGGAGATTAAAGACCAGAAATATAAACTACAGGCTTTTGTGGATGATTTGGTCTTCATTCTAGAGGAGCCATTGCAAACAGCTGATAAACTCCTGCAGAAAACTGAGAAATTTGGAGAAGTGGCTGGTCTGAAAATAAACAGGGAAAAGATTAAAGTAATAACAAAAAATCTAACAGACAAACAAAAAACTCAACTTGCTAAAATTACAGATCTTCAAATAGTTAAAAAAGTCAAATATTTGGGTATTTATTTAACGGCGAAATATACTACACTAAAAGAAGATAATTATGAGAGATTAATGAAACAAATAAAAATAGACTTGGAAAGATGGGAAAATCTTCAATTTTCACTTTTAGGAAGAATAGCGACGGTTAAGATGAACATTTTACCAAAGTTAATTTTCTTATTTCAAACAGTGCCTATTAAAGTTACTAAGATTTTTTTTTGATGATTTAAATGCAATGATTCTAAGATTTATATGGCAAAAAAAGAAAGCGAGAATCAAATGTAAATTGTTACAAGAATCTAAGGACAGAGGGGGCTTTGGACTTCCAGATTGGAGACTTTACTATCAAGCGGCTATTTTGCTTTGGCTTAAAGAATGGATTGTATTGAGAAATAAAAGATTGCTTTATTTAGAGGGACATGACCTTCAGTTAGGTTGGCATGCTTTTATATGGTACGAGAAATCTAAAGCACATAAGTACTTTCAAAATCATGTGATAAGAAATGTACTATTTTCAGAATGGGAGAAAATTAAGCATAAAATATATATGAAAATACCTGAGTGGCTTTCAAAAATGAAAGCATTTGCTTATCCAAATCTGATTAATTATGACAAACTGGTTAGTTATAAAGACATTTTAGACAAAGAGGGAAAACTTAAGGACAGGCAAACTTTACAACTACAAGGTATTGACTTGACATGGTGGCCCTACTTGCAAATTCAAACAAGATACGAAAAAGATATAAAATCAACAGGTTTTTACAAAGAACAGACCCCATTGGATAAAATTTTGTTAAAAACAGATGAGAATTTAATTAGAAAACTCTATAAATTTCTTTTAAACTGGAAGGTGGAAGAAGAACAAGTGAAAGAAACAATGATAGTATGGGCAAAGAACGTTGGATATTCTATAGATTTGGAAGACTGGCAAAAACTTTGGGATAAAAATATTAAGCTTACAAAAGCGGTAGCATATAAAGAAAACTTATATAAGATGTTTTATAGATGGCATATGACACCAGTGCGCTTAGTGAAAATGTTTAAAAATGCTTTGGATATCTGCTGGAAATGTAAACAACAGTCAGGCGCTTATTACCATGCCTGATGGACATGCCCTATCACTAAGAAATACTGGTCTAAGATCCATAGATGGTTGGAAAAGATGATGAAACTACAGATAGAATTTAAACCGGAATTGTTTTTGTTAGGAATATTAAGACCTAATTATGGTAAAGAGAATGACTACTTGATATTACATGTTTTAATTGCTGCAACAATAGTATTTGCCCAATTTTGGAAAAATGAGAAATTACCATCTAACCAGATTATTATTACCAAAATTTTAGAGTGTGCAGAAATGGATAGACTAACATTAGAAATGAAAGAAAAAGATGATTCAATTTATTTTAGAACTTGGAAAATTTTTTAGCAATGGTTAGAGACACGTCAGAACTTGAAGGATTCAATATTTTAGAATAGATGACTGATTTTTAATCAAGGTCTAACAACATTTTGATGATATGATTACTTTTCCTGATTTACTGATTCTCATTTGTTACTTTTGACTCTTAGGATTTTTTTTTTTTAAGATTTTATTAGTAGTGTTTACTTAATAGATCAACATATTTGTTTACTAATAGTTTTTAATATGTTACAGTCTAAGCTTTGTTAAAAATGGTTCAATATTTATTTATTTATTTATTTCTAAAATTTATATGATATTTACTCATTATTATGATCCGGACGGTTGCTTGTTTGTTGAAATATGTGATTGTACCTGTTGTATACTTTGTTCGCGTGCGAATGATGAAGACACATGGCGATGCTGAACAAACATTTTATTCTCCTTCTACAACAACCAAACAAAAGCAAAAGGCATGCAGGCTTTTTATATGGCCAGAAGCCCAGACAGTGTCAACCAATAGGAACAGAGCGTTTTCGCGCCTTGCACATGCACACAAGGCCGGCGCTGCTCTGTCTGGTCCCGGGCAGCTTTTGGAATGTCCGGGACCAATGCAACGTCCCGAGCCTGCTTTTTCAGGCTCAAGACACAACACCCCTCCCCCCTAGATGGAACATACTTCGCGTACACACATGTACATTTTTGCAGGCTCAGGACACAACAGTATCTATCCTTATTTTGCTCTAATTCCTTATTTCCTTCCCCTCCCCCGTTCCTTCCACCCTTCCCTTTACCATACTTGTATTGTTCCTATTTTTCCTCATTTATATAAATTTAATAAAATTTTGTTTTAAAAAAAGAATATTGCATCTGGTGGTCATTCTTTGGCCAATTCAATTCCAATTGAGGTGAACAAGTCATGGCTAGAAAAGAGATGGAGATATCAAGATCTATATCCAGATCTGGGCTTCACGTTTAAGAAAGATATTAGTGAGAGGCTGGATGAATAGTTCTGCTTCACTGAACTATTCCTTAGGACCTCAAGAGTTTCTTATTTAGTATCAGACGGCTCAGACTCCATCATTGTATATGTGATGCTAGGGTCCTTTCCTCCCATTCTAAGTGCATTTCTTAAACTTACACTTAAACTGAACTGCATTTGATATTTGATTGATAATACTGCTGATTAAAATATGTTTGTGGAGTTTTTTACAATGCTGTTTTTTTTTAATTTCCACTACACTGAACATTACCAAGCAGATTTTGTTCCTGCTGTTGCTTATGGTGGGGATATCATTACCATAAATAAGACAAAATATATTCCTGTATAATTTTTAAGTTTACTCCATATATTATATTAACTGAATCATTTGGGTGAGAATTAATAAGATGGCCAGATATCATTGGATTAAATATTTTATTATTAGTCAAGATTTCAGGAGTCCATTTCTAGGAAATCTGCATTAATTTCAGTTACCAGAAGAAGGTCCAATGTAGGTTTACAGTATTTCAAAATTTGTTGAAACTCTTGGATAAATTAGGGACATGGATTCTAATTATTTTATACTAGAAAAGTTATTGTAACTTAACAAAAAATGGAAATGTCTGATTTCAGAATTAAGATTTTGTATAAAATATTAGAAAATAAAACATATTTGCTTTTTTGATAGATGACTAATGATTTATCTATCCTTTTTTGTTCTGTCCAGGTCCAAATAAAGGGAAAGATATTAAACCACTATTAATTCGCCCAATCTGTAATATATTTTGCTTCTGGTCTCCTAAATACAAGACATTTTTCTGGTGTGGAGTGGATCATAACAGAAAAGAACTTCATGTAAGATTATTGTATTATTCATTTGACATATCAGAGTAATGGATGGGGTTGAGCCTGATAGACTCCATCCCATATCTTGATACTCTATCCTGCCTCATTTTTCATCACCTTTTCATGAAGACACTTTCACTAAGGATGGGGCTTCAAAAAATCTTATGGTTCCTAAGAAGTTGTCCTAAAATCTATATGACAGAATACTAAATAGACTTTTACCTCAAATATATATAATTCTAATTAATTAAAAATGCATGTTGTTTTGAGTTGTGAATATTGATGAATCATCCAGCCTATTTATTTTGTTCAGAAGGTTATGTTAGAAGAATTTGATAATGCCAAATTCTTCAAACATCCCTAATTCTGAATACCTTATGGCAATGTTTCTCAACCTCGGCCACTTGATGATGTGTGGACTTCAACTCCCAGAATTCCACAGCTAGCACAACCACTATAGCTGGCTGAGGAATTCTGGGAGTCGTAGTCTCTACATATTTAAGTAGCCCAGGTTGAGAAACACTGCTTTCACCATAAGTTAATATTTCTCTGTCCTGTTTTACTGTTTCAAAGCCAAATTCCTTAAAGATAAATTCAAATAATATTCCAGCACATTTTAAATTCTGAACAATGAGAACATTGAAAACACTTCCAGTTAGACTGAATTAAATTTCTACAGTTCCAAGATTGGCATGGGAAAGGAGAAAGATTCTTGAATTTTACAGCCTTTCTGAGTGTGTCTTGAATGTATTTTAAGACTATTCCCTTTTATTTTCTTGAATCTTAGGAAAGCATGACACCTTTCTAAATTTATGTTGGAGATTTTTGATTTCAGATCTTTCCCTACAAGGATGATCTCTGTATCTTCCTTTAAATAAGCTAATTCAAAATACCTTATATTATTTAGTTTTATTATTTCTACATAATCCATAAAAGTATGATTCTGTAGAAAAGATAATGCTTCTGAAGTATATACAATATGATGCATCAATCCTTAGATTTTCTAAAAGGAATGGGCTCCACCAAATCTTGCTTTTCTTAAAAATAAGCTTAAATTTCATTTCCTACTATTTCTCTACAACATACAATAAATGCAATAAGTTTTGTATTTATTGGATTATATAATAAAAACAATGGGATGTAACGATCAAATACTCTTTTCCTCAAATTAATTTTTATATTTGCTTCTTTTTATGGTGGATTATGGTTGCTTATAGATGTACGATGTTCTACTATGTGATGCATTTTTGAAGTTAATTGTGGTCAGCCATTCTATAGATGGCATAGGATGTTTCTAAGACTGGTGTGAGAGATTATTTCTTACATCTCCAGGAGGGTGCAAGAAAAAATATTTTGTAGCAATAGTTTTAGCCAAGTTACAACAGAATGATTTTTACCATAATAAGGTTGAATTCTCATTGAATAAGCTTAAATTACAGTAAAATATCAGGAATCAAATAAACAAGCTGGTAGAATTATCAGAGCTTCATTTCTGAAACAGTGATGATGGGCAGATGGTTAGGTTCAGATTACTATTATTTCAGTATATAACTAAGAAATGCATGTTTCGCTCCTGGGCATTTAGGGTTGTGGCAGTAGATTTGGATGTAACCACTTGCTTCATTTAATGGTTTTTTAAATTTATTCTCAGGATGAAGTGAAAATTGACTTTGAAACAAAGGCAGATGCAAATGATGTGCTGAAGAATGGATGGAAAAACAATTTACCTGGTTATAACCCCTGTGAGAAATCCTATACTAACACAAGCATGACTGAATCCCGCTTTTAGCACAAATAGTAAAAAAAAAAGAAGACATATAGCTGACCATAGAGAGTTCATAATAACAGAAGAAAATACTATTTATGTCTGCTAATTTGCTTAGAAGACATTTATTTATTATTTAATAGAGGGTCATATCTATTCAGGTCAGTTTCATAATAGATGCATAGTTTCTAAAACACTAGCAGTACTTTAAGAAATAAAACTTTTTTGTTTAAAAGAATCCCATCTTCTTATTCATAGCATGGGTTGCTGCTCTCCCTCGGGCTTAAAAGTGCAAGCCATGATATAGATTGCACCTTTTGAGTATTATTATTATAGCATCAGGGATTATTTTTATCTCTGGAAGGCTGTTTCCCAGGCTTCCAAATAAAGGTTTTATGAATGAATATATGTCTGGACTGAATCATTTGTTAGTTTAGGGACAGTGATGGTGAACCTGTAGGGCTTGGTGTGTCAAAAATTCAGAAAATACTTAACTTGACTCTGTTGAACTGTCACACACAGACCCTCCCCCAAAGAGAAACAATTTGCTATCTCTGTCTTCCCTCCCCATTTAGCCCACCCTGAATGCCCTACTTGGCAGCAGCACCAAGTCCAACTCAACTTTATCCCTAATGTCACCACTGCCACTCAAAAACATCATCTTGTGCCATTCCCCGAGGTGTATGAAGAAGTAACAAACTTTTGTCAAGAGAACAATAAGGACGTGGGCATGAACTTGTCAAGAGCTGAGACTGCCATTAAGACCTTTTTGTTTCTTTTATACATTCCCACTTTTCTGCGCTCATACAATAAGCGACAACGTTTAATGGGAGGGAAGTAGAGTAAGACTAGTAAATAGTAAACAAATATTTATTTTTCAAGCAAGTTTTTTTCTTGAATTCACCAAGACACTGAGTTGAGTTGGTAATAGTTAAGACATTCTGGACTAATAACAAACTGTAGATTTTGAAAGACAAACTGTAGCTGCTCATGCAGTCTGTTTGAAAGAACATGCATAGAACAAAATTATTGTAGGCTAGATCAACAATGATCTAAAGCATTTTTTTTTGCATGAATGCTAGTTTTGAAGCTCTGCGTCTTTGCATGCATATACCACTCGTATTGGTCATTTCAAAATACAAGTATTTAGAAGTACAAAAAAACAGGAAGTTGAATCTTTAACCAGCACTCATGTAATGTATATTTCCTGAGAACAGTGTGTGCCATATATCTTTATAATATGCATTCAATGCAACATAGTAAAACAAACCTAGCAGGCATTTCTTTCAGCTAAAGCATATAACTCTCTATACATCAGCAATCCTCTAGGATACTCTTGATACCCAATTTATTTTAAAGAAAGGAACACAAACAGTTTTTTTTATTTCAGAAACTTTCCAATAACCGGGGTACAAAATTTATAGGTTTGCAAAATCAAAGCCATTAAACTTTCCAGTTGGGGAAGTAACTAGAATCTGCAAGAAAACAAGCAAGCTCAGAGAGCACCAAGGACCCCTCGTAAGTAGAATCTGTAATTTTCTACAATAAAAATTGGATTAAAACTTTCATTATGTTTCTACTGAGGATACAGGAGAGCAAACCTATATTTAATGCATCACAATGTTTTTGGCATTTTTGTTTAGTAATGAGGAAGCCATTTATTCAGTGTGAGATTTGCTTGTCTAGGCAAAGAATTTAGAACTTCAAATTTACACTTTAAATTAATGGCACTGGCAAGTCCTTGAAACCACAGGACCTGGTTTGAGAATGCAGCATAAGTTTGCCTTGTGATTAATTGGACTAAACCGTGATAAACCAAACACCAATTAATAGGGATACAAGCTGACAAACAGAATCCATTTTAAAGCTTGGTTCCTGCCAATGCAATCTACATTGCTATCTGGCAAAACTTAAATTTCAGATAAAGGTAACATAAACTATGCTTCACAGAATGCAAAAAAAAAAAAAAAAAAAAAGAAAAGAAAAGAAAAAAAAGTGCACTTTGTACTGATTCTGACAGTTTGGGGCAAACTGATGCACCATGACGTTTTTAGGCTGGCAAGTTTTTCTATTCATGGGTGCATGGGATTAGCATCAGTGTTGACATGGGCAAAATGTCCTGGGATTAAAACACATGGGAAACCAATGATGGGAAGGCCCGGAATTGCTATCTGTATAAGCAATTGCTGGATCAGAGAATCAGTATCAATAGTAATATTATAAAGCTGCTTGTTATAATATAAGAAAGTATTTCTAGGAAAGAAACAGGAAGAAAAACTCCTTGAGAAGTAGAATAATGGCGTGGAATGAACTTAAAATGAAATCACTGATGCATTTCATGCAAATAGGATAATATCACATCTATAAACCATTTCTTTACATGAGATATATTTGCTGTGCTTTGCTATATAATGATACAAAACCTGGACAGTGGAACATATTTTAAGCTTGCTTTGGTTGATAGAAATAAGAAACTTTTGTATACCTGATCATTTTGTAAAAGGAAAATGCAGAACTTTAAGGGGTTTTGCATATAAGTAAATCTTGCAAGATGTTTTAGTTTGGTGTTTCATATTATTCTTCATTTAAAAAAAGAAGAATAAAAATACTAAATAAATAATTGTGACTATCATGTCTTTAACACCTTCTAAGTGTTATTGTTGTCTGGTTCAGGCAGAATCAAAGTTTGTATCACCATAGTAAATTCATTTATTTTGAAGGAATTTTAGATACATCTTGGCAAGAGATTCTATTGGAGAATAATTTAATCTTATTTATCCTTCTAATTCCATAATTTGATTTTAAAAAGAAAAAAGTGTTACATACAGTCCTATTTTTTTCTTGGAAATGCAGTTCAATGCTGTTATACCTTATTTGCTGCATAAGCAGGAGCTTGCATATGGTAAATAATAAAATTGGTTTCATATTTGCTACAGACTGAGACATTTCAGGTTGACATTTTTGTGAAATATAAATATTCACACAGTTATACTTCCGCATGCTGCTTCTGCATTCCACATTGGAGCATGGATAGGACAGTTCACTTAAGAGGTATGAGGAAACGGCCTTTAGTTGCACATTGAATATCAAGAGCAATGGAAAATGCCACATATTTTCCCCAAAGAGTTGAGTCATCGAGGGCAGTGCAATGGCAAGCCAGCATCCCAGGGTTTCTGAGCTGAGGAAAAGGAACACTCATGCAGCTTTATGCACATCAAAGTATGTGCAGAATGAGCCATATGAAACAGGCTTCTGCATTTAGCTGTCATTTCTCCAGACCCAGGGTCGATTTCTTCCTATAAGACTTTTAGCTGAGATATACATTGCTCTGCATGAAGAATCAAGATAACTTCATGCAGTAGTAGATCATTGAATCTTGGCTTGAAGTCTTGCTTTGTTTGTGTGTGTTTGTGTGTATGTACAGATACATAGGGAGACACACACATGGGTATGCACACACATGCACATATGTATCTACACACACAGAGAGACACACAGTATATATGCGTGTCTGCATGTGTATGTCTATGCACACCCGTGTGTACATTGAATTATGCATATAAACCAACAAAAAGTGATGTGCAAAACATCAAACTGCATAGTAAATATAGGACAGGCTGACCTCCCTTTTAACATCCACAATCTCAGCAAGAGACAAGGATAAACCTGACAAAATGGGAAGCCTCACGGACTGTTACAGCATCAACGGATGGCCACTAAGGCAGCAATTATCTGAGTTTTTTATTCATTTAAGCAAACAGAAGGGGTAGAAGTAGTGAATAAGCACATCATTTTTTTTTTTTAGAAAATAAACCCCTTGCTATGAAAGCTTAACAAGTAAATCATGGACTCTATATTTTCTCAGATCTGTTGGGTTTATTATGTGCTTGCCTAGTAAATTCTCCTCTTCTAGGACTTATGTTCCTCTACAGTCTGTTTTGAGCACAGAACATGAAAGAAGCAGAACGGTTGATTGTGTCTGCCGATAACAGGATTTGTTCCCATTTTACAAGAAAGCTTGATAACATTACTTCCTTACACATACACACATACACAACTTGATTCGGTTGTCTTCTTTTCAAATCCCACCTTCATCTTGACTTCTGGAAATGTTCGGTCATGATGCTGCTGCTGGTGGTTTTTGCCCCCTTTTTTCTTTCATCCTTTTTCTTATCAGCTAAGGCCATTCATGGTGATACTGCCTACCATTCTTTTTTCGCTCTTTCTGCAAATGCTCAAGTTCAGCTTCATACATCATTTCCTGAACTAAGTATTTCTCCCTTCGCATTCTGTCACATAAGTCTTTGGGCATATCTGGAATCAGGTAGGCAATGAAAGATTTTATTCCAAAAACTAGATGCTGAAAGAGAGAGAAAGGGAGAGAGAGAAAGGGGAGAAGACATTTTTAAAATGCTCATGTTGATCTGACGTCGTTTGGAATCCTCCTGAATACTTTCTTGAGAAACCAGATTTGCCCTTGTGCATTGTCCTTTTACAAATTTGTCCTTTGTAGACACATATTTCCATTTGTGTGTCTACAAAGGAGAGTCAACATCTGCAAGATGGCAGGCACATTAGGATTAAAGCCTTGTCTTGCGTGTGCCAATGTCATGCCATAGCTACCATCTTGATTCCTTTGAACCTTGACTCCTGACCAGCTCCAGATTAAGTCAACCTTCCATCCTTTCAAGATTGGTAAAATGAGGACCCAGATTGTTGGGGGCAATATGCTGACTCTGCAAACTGCTTAGAGAGGGCCGTAAAAGCACACTGAAGCAGTATCTAAGTCTAACTGCTATTGCTATTCCTCATGGATGCTCTGTCCTTCAGTTTCCTCAAAACCTCTCTTGTTTCATTAATTTTCAGAGTTCTTTAACATTTCTTTGGAATATTTAATTGTTACTGAAGATGGTAACAGTATTAAGTATCTGGGGGTGCAGATAACTAACAGTCTGAATTGGTCTCTCCACACCTCATCCTTAGTGAAGTGTGCAAACCAGCATCTGCATATTCTACGTTAGATGAGGAAAGCACATCTCTCTCCTTCTGTCCTGGCCACTTTTTACAGAGGCATGATTGGGAACATTTTAACAAACTGCATCGCTGTCTGGTTTGGTGGTAACAATGCCTCTGATAGAAAGTCCATACAGAGAGTGGTAAGGACAGCTGAGAAGATGATAGAAAGCTCTCTCCCTGGTATTCAGGATGCTGCTTATAAGCACTATGTACTTAGGGCTCAAAGCATTATTAGAGACCGCACACACCCACTTTATGGTCTGTTTTTGTTGCTCCTCTCTAGGAGGAGGTTTCAAGGTATTTCTAGCAGGACTACCCGACTCTGTAATAGCTTTGTTCCCTATGCCACCCATCTGGTAAACTTGCAAGATTTGCTTTTCTTGCCATG